TTCTGCTCCTCAAACACATCCAAGTCTCCTTCTTCCCTAAACCTGGGAGAATTCAGATAAAGTGGGAAATCAGATCACACACTCTTCGTGAACTGTCTTTGGTCCTTCCAGACTCCCTCTCTCCTCTCTCCTTTTTTACTGAGATGTTTTTGTCCTAACTGTCTGTATCTTCATAAACGCACAAGTAAGAGAATATGTGGACTGACTGTGGAGCATTATCTAAGTGGAAGAAAGAAAATAAGCAGCTTGTTTTGAAATGTACGTCGTTGTCTTTCTCTTTTTGTATCGGAGGAAATGTAACATCATGGAGGCATTTGGGTTGTTCATAGTTTGAAGGATGTGACATCAATTACATTTCAGATCTCAAGAATAAGACCCGTCATAATAATAATAATAATAAAGTCAAATGTATCCTTAAGGTTTCTTACAAGGTCACTCCAAGATGTTATGGGCTCCTCTTTGGTTTAAAACGACTACTTCCAACAAATATTGTAAAAAATATCAGTCGTTTTTTTTCTGTAATTCTGCAAATTAAACAGAGAAAAGAAGCCGGAAACATCCTCGTTAGTACATGAACAGATCAAGATATATATATTTAATTGAGTATTCAAACAAGTTTCATTAAATTCTGAGACGCTATTCTTTAATTCTGTAAACAAGATGGAGAAAAGAAACCAAAATCATCCTGGTTCGAAGAGGTAATAAAACAAATTTGTCTTTTTTAAATTCTAAATCTAATCAAACGTGTTCAGATCTAGTAGTTAAAGTCTCAAATTCAAAATGTCTCTTTGTTAAAGTGGTTGTATGTTTGATCTCCTATACAAAGAGAGGAAGTAAACACCGTACAGACTTTGAATGGGAAAGTGACCTGGTAGCAACATTTTCTTTATTTAGTTTTACTTTAAGACCATTTTCAGAGTTTCTGCTTCTTAAAAAAATCATATATTTTCCACCATTTACAGCACTGAGCGCGTATTCTCTTATCACCTGGATGAATGTGTAGAAGTAACGTGTGCAAACAGCAGCGGTGGGTGCGTTTGATTCGTGTCACTGCGAGGTGTTGAATGTAGATGTGCCAATTGTGCTCGACCGCCACTGAGTTTTAACACATTTTACATAAATGTTGGGGTTAATTTAAGATTGTAAGTTGTGTGAACGTCATGTTAAACACCTGCCTTGTTCTCGCTCAATATTTAAACTAATATTGTGTTATTGTCGAGTCGTTGATGAAGAAAGGTTGGCTCACTTTGGACCTCACAGCAACTTATGCCAAGGAAAAAGACGATATTTAAAATGTCATTAAAACATTTATTATACAAAATGCATTCAATGTCGTCTTCATGAGAAGTTAACAGGTTGTCCGTATGTATGTATGTATGTATGTTCTCTTTAGTGCGATATCTCGGGAACATTTTGGGGGAATTTCTTGTACAAATGTCGATCTCTCAAACGTGGTTTTAGCTACAACTAAAGACATCATTAGCTAAATATTTCAACTATCACAGGATAAAAACAATAAAGTAATGGCATTGTATCTCCTAAAGGTAAACTAGAACATTTCCCTATTAACCCTCCTATTGTCTTCGTTCCCCCCCCCCCCCCCCCCTTACCGGTCCTGTTTTAACTGCTATTACATTAACACAAAAACCATTAATCATCACCAAATGTCATTTAACACCCTTTCAAACTGTACATATTGTATCAGACTACTGGTATACATGAACAACTGCAGTAAATATACAAAGAATAGACACTGAACATGTATTGCGTGTGCCAGGTGTGATCCATGTGGGGGGATGGGCACATACGAGCGGGAAATGTGTCAAATTGTTCTGTGTGTTTGTGTGTGCCAGGTGTGATTCACATGGGGGGGATTGGGCACATAAGGGGGGGGGGGGGGGACATCTAGAGTATGTGTGTGTGTGTGTTTTATCTGATCCGGATGGTTACTAATTCCTTTTCTTTATGGCGGTCATTTTTGACCGGGAACACCATGGGTGTTGCAAAGTTGACTAAATCATCCAAAGTTCAATGAAAGTGGTGATCAGCAATTTATATGTTCAAATGTCTACTGTGAAGGATATCATAAAGCCTTAATGCAATCGAATGTAAAACAAAAAAGTTATGATTGATGAAAGTAGTACATCGGTCAGATTTGACCCGAAGACAACAGGAGGGATAATATATCGACTGACTTGGCACTTGGCATCGGTCCCTGAGCTAATATTGCTAGCGCTAAGTAGCTATTGATAGCAGTAGCTGTATTATTACTTTCTGGGGCTTTTATGTTGAAAAATAACGAACCTCACCCTGAGCTGAGCTTCCTGTAAGAATAGTTACTTTCTGGGGCTTTTATTTTGAAAATGTCTTAAAGTTAATCACAAAACACTTTCATATCAAACTTTTTATTTAAAAAAAAAAAGGACAAATTACATTTGAAACTGGAGCACAGCTCTCATTGGTTACACATGGTATCACAGCTGTACGTCATGTTTCTATGGCAACTATGGGTCCAATCACCCATCTTTAAGTTATCAGTACAAACCATAGACTGTATATACAAACACGTTAAAAAAGAAATCAGGAATTTCACACAACTTTAACCAAACAAGGCACACAACAATTTATCAGAAATGTTGAAGATGATAAAAAGATGCTGTGCGGTTTTTCCTTTCTTTACCTAAAGCAGAAAAATACAAAGTGAATACATCTTTTGGTTTTCGCTCTCCTTTGATACCAGATTCTTAATCTCGTTAGCACTGAACACAACGGCAAAGTAAACATGCAGAGAAATAAACCTGAAAACGACAGTTATCTAAATACTCACAGGACATGTAGAACAAAATGAACATTGAAAATATTTCAAGATGTCAGTAAGACTTTTATTACGGGCTCAAATATCCACAGTGTCACATTATTGAAGGTGCTGCATTATCCATCTTGATGAAGCTTCAACATGAGCAGCTTTAATGTGCCGTATCTGTAGATGTTGGGGTCTCCAATTCTGCGTTATCCTCCATCTGTCATCATCTTACAAAAACATTGTATGAAAAAACGTATATGCAACATTTTAGGTGCTCCAAAAGTCATTTTTTTGTGTCTTCTACAAATGGAAAGGAGGGTGTGTTTGGGATTTACAACGGTGCTGGCCAGCAGCAACGTTTATAAATCTAATAAGTCAGCGTTGCAGTCGCAGGGTGACAAAGTGTTCAGATGGAGACGGGTGGGAAAGGATGACGGAGCTTCAGAACAAGTGTTTTTCTCCATGTCGTCCCCTCTTCACACGGGGCAACGACAGAGCTTCTTTCCCCTCGCTGCTGCAGGAGCTTCTCTGTCCGATCTGATTGTGGTGTAAATGCTCGTTGATAAGGTTCAGAGGTGAGGGTCAGATGGCCATGGGGTCTCTCCTGCTGAAGCTGAACTCCCACAGGATGCCGTCTCCGTTGGGGGGGTGGCTGGAGGGCAGGAGGACCCGGGTGAACCAGTGACTGAGGACAGAAGAATAAAATAGCTGGATTCACATATTGGTTTATTTGAAAAACATTCAAATTGGAATTGTGGTAAAGTCACTTTAAAGGGGACCTATCAGGCAAAATGCACTTTCTGATGTCTATCATACATAAATATGTGTCCCCGGTGTGTTAGGGAACTCACGCAGCGTCAGAAAATAAAACCCTCTCTCTTTTCCTCCGTACCCAAATCTCTAAAAACGGGGGAACAACGGAGCTGATCCAGATTTGCGTCCGATATGACGTCATATCTGAAATGTGGACCCACGGCACTATCAGAAACGTTGCTATCAGAAACAATGCCCGACTGTTTTGGACGTAATATGGTCGGTGTTTACATTAGCATCGCTAACACTCAGAGCTAACCTGTACTGGAGAGCATGTGTGTGAAGAAGCAGGAAATAAAAAGGAACTCACCTTGTGGTATAACCGGCAAGAGAGAAAGCCTTTGAGCTCCATACTGTTTCAGAAATAATCCTTGATAATCCATGATATGGCGTTTCATCACGGCAGTATTTAGTTTAGACAGTAGCTGCCGGGTCCCGCATGAGCTCAGACCCCTCCTTTTTGATTTTTTAAAGCTTTATACCCCAAATCAGCACTTTTGAAACAGGAAGTGAAATAGAGGGATATGAGGCATGGCTAGAATGGGTGATCTGTTTGGTATTTTGAGCAAAACACTTCATAGACATGTTTTTTATATATTTGTATATATCTGAGACCTATGCTATTGCCTAAAAATAGCATGATAGGTGCACTTTAAGTAGGAATTGTGCCTGCTGAAGTGCTTTTTAAACCAAAATGTTAAAATCACTTTGAAACCCAGGGAAATCTTTGAGAAAGGGTTGTTTAGTTGGAGGACAACTGTTGAAAAATCCCATAAAAAGATGTTAATATAACTTAAATTGAACTCAGTGAAATGTTTACCCGACATCTGTCCTGATCATTAATACTAAATATTCATCAATGTTCAGAATCTAAACTCTTTAAATATTTAGTTTTTTTAAATATATAGTATTAAACTATAATAATTTATTATACTATTTATACCATATCCACAATGTTGTTTTTCCACAGCTAAATGATTATATATAATACAAAATTGAGGTATATCATTTTAAACTGCTAGTGCTGTAATTAACTATGAATTAAATTCGAATCACATTTTCCAGCGTAATTGAACTCACCTCCTTTTTTCCACCCCCAGCAGTAACTTCCAGTTGTTCATCGTCCCGTGATGATATGGGTTTTTGAAAACCTGCGTTAGAAAACACAAGAAACTTAAACACCATCTCCAGAGCTGCAGAGATACCAATGATATGTAAGCCTGTAGTTTGATATATTTCACTCGGTCAGCGGTACCTTTCCGATGTCCCTCAGCCGGCGGGTCTCTTTGTGGTTGATGTGTCGCTCCACGCTGGTTTCTCCTCGGCTGATCAGGATCATGTGCCAGAGGCTGAGAGCTCCCAGAGCCACGGACACAGAGCTGCAGGGAGAACACATCACAATAAGAGCTCTGTCATCAGAGGTGGGAAGTAGTGGAGTACGAATACTTCGTTACTGTACTTACATTTTGAACACTAATACCTGTACTTTCTACTTCTTACATTTTGAACCCAAATACCTGTACTTTCTACTTCTTACATGTTGAACCCAAATACCTGTACTTTCTACTTCTTACATGTTGAACCCAAATACCTGTACTTTCTACTTCTTACATGTTGAACCCAAATACCTGTACTTTCTACTTCTTACATGTTGAACACAAATGCCTGTACTTTCTACTTCTTACATTTTGAACACAAATGCCTGTACTTTCTACTTCTTACATGTTGAACACAAATACCTGTACTTTCTACTTCTTACATGTTGAACTCAAATACCTGTACTTTCTACTTCTTACATGTTGAACACAAATGCCTGTACTTTCTACTTCTTACATGTTGAACACAAATACCTGTACTTTCTACTTCTTACATGTTGAACACAAATACCTGTACTTTCTACTTCTTACATGTTGAACACAAATACCTGTACTTTCTACTTCTTACATTTTGAACACAAATACCTGTACTTTCTACTTCTCACATTTTCCAAACCGGCTGGTTCCTTTAGTTTGAATGTGTGTTTGGTGGCGTGATCATTATTCTTTAGAGTCATTGCGTGCCTATTGATTTGAACACGATCCGTGTATCCATCATTTCCTGGTCTTCTCTAAAGAAGAGGGACCAATGAAAACGTTGTCATGTTGCCGTTGTTCAGCATGGAAACATTCATTAGCTAACAATGACATTATTGTTCTATTAATATAAAGGGAGGTCAGGTACTCTTTAAAACAGCTGCTAGTTATGGGTACTTTTTACTGAAGTACATTTCAAAGCCCTCTTTACTTTTACTTGAGTAAAGAAGTTTAGTCAGTACTTCTACTTTCACCAGAGTATTTTTAAACACGAGTATCTGTACTTCTACTTGAGTAAAGGATGTGTGTACTTTTGCCATCTCTGTCTGTTATCCACGTTTATCCGATTAAACATGGAGGAATTATAAAGCGTTCCTCACCTGGTCAGCACCCAGAGGAAGATGATGCTCTTGTGAGCCGTGGACTCGACGTAGGGCTCGGTGGGAGGAGGGGTCTGGTAGTATCTCTGAAAAAGACAAAAGATAATCAGGTTATTATATTTATACTGTCGTCACAAATGGACTTATTTCACTTCTTGTTCTGATCCGAGGAGGATTTAGATCGCTGCTTTCTGAGGTACAGAAGCTCTGAGAGCCAAGTTGGGAAAAACTATTCTTATTCTTCTTTTTTTAGGTGAAATCTAAATAGTTTTCCCTTGTTTTGGACAGGATAGTTTTTCTAAATTCCTTAAATATTCGTATTTTTTAACCTGTGAAACGAACAAAAGTAGTGGCACGATAATCTTTTTCTAAATTGCCTTTTTCATCTGTGAAAAAATATGGTATTTGTGAGTTACATTTTATTTTGTCAGGACCATTTCCCAAAGTGTTTCTTGTTGCAATACTTAATTTGACCACTATGACAGAAGTGCACCACTATCACATGTAAACAGGACTACAAGCTCTTGATTAGCACCAACTAAAATACATTTTCAGCCCAAAAAAAAGCAATGACAGCTATTTTACATAACATGCTAACACACCACACAGATACCTTGTGTCCAAAGTGCACAAAATGGGATAGAAACACTTGGAAATTCGTAATTACTTGATTTCTTTGTGAGTATTTTCTAAGATTTTTCTAAGATTTCTAAGATTATACTTGTGAAACCACTTGTTTTTACATGTTCTTAAAGGTCACCTATCATGCTATTTTTAGGCAATAGCATAGGTCTCAGATATATACAAATATATAAAAAACATGTCTATGAAGTGTTTTGCTCAAAATACCAAACAGATCACCCATTCTAGCCATGGCTCATATCCCTCTATTTCACTTCCTGTTTCAAAAGTGCTGATTTGGGGTATAAAGCATTAAAAAAAATGTTTTTAAAGAGGGGCGGAGCTTATGCCTGCTCATGCGGGAGATTCTACCGGCAGATACTGCGGTGATGAAACGCCATATCATGGATTATCAAGGATTCTTTCTGAAACAGTATGGAGCTCAAAGGCTTTCTCTCTTGCCGGTTATACCACAAGGTGAGTTCCTTTTTATTTCCTGCTTCTTCACACACATGCTCTCCAGTACAGGTTAGCTCTGAGTGTTAGCGATGCTAATGTAAACACCGACCATATTACGTCCAAAACAGTCGGGCATTGTTTCTGATAGCAACGTTTCTGATTGGCCCGTGGGTCCACATTTCAGATATTACGTCATATCGGACGCAAATCTGGATCAGCTCCGTTGTTCCCCCGTTTTTAGAGATTTGGGTACGGAGGAAAAGAGAGAGGGTTTTCTTTTCTGACGCTGCGTGAGTTCCCCGACACACCGGGGACACATAGCTATGAATAAAAGACATCAACAAGTGCATTTTGCATGATAGGTCCCCTTTAAGTCATAGAAACTCTCAGGGTTTCCTTTCTTTAATTTTGGCTCTGATTCAAGACTACGGGTACGCTACGAGTCCAACCAGCTGGATCCTGTTCCTCGTTAAGTGGTCTTGGGGAGGCGAGGACTTCTAAACTTTCAGCTCATTTGTACTCCGAGCCCTCACGCTGTTTGTTTACCTGCTGCTGCTCGACCTTTGATATGAGAGAGAGCTCAGATCCTCTTCCTGTCTCCTGTTTCCTCGTGTGCCATCTGAGCTTCTCTGACCTCATCTGCCCTCTGCTGCGTCTGACAGGTGCCACCCAGCAAAACATCTTGTCATCACTACTTAGACTGACAACAGAGTCTAAGTGTAGGATACCATTAGCAGCAACAACACAGCAGGTGTTATCAGGTGACAGTAGCCTCAATATTTTATCATATTATCTTAACAGTTAGATTTTTGTATCACCCTTTCATATGATTTAACTACCATGATCCTTCTGGTCTCACATCTGAATTTAGAGGGAACATGGCTAGTTAAATTGTTTATTTTAAAGGTGCTTTTAATTTGAAATTCACTTTAATTTATGACTGTCTTGATATTTTCGACAATTACAATTTTTAGGGTGACTGCAAACATGTTGAAGTAAAACTGGTCTGTGGAAATGCACTCTTTATTGAGTTTGACTCATTATTTACCTGATTGATATTTCATTTATCACGTTTTTTGTAATTATTGAAAGAAGGACTTGTGAACCACGTTGACCAGATGTCGCTTTTATTCTGAAGTCAGTTGTCACGCGCTCTTACCGTAATGCCTCGTATAAAATGTACCACAGAAACTAAGGGACTAGTTTGTCTGTCTTCTCCAAACTAGAGTCTGGGACCTTCCATTACCGTTCTGAATTTAAAGGTCACCTATTATTCTGTTTTTCATCAATATATTACAGGTCTCAGATATATATAGAACATGTCTCTGATTGGCTGAAACACCAAACAGATCATTGCAGCATCCCATAATCCCCTCTGTTTCAGCCCTGTTTCCAAAGTGCTGATTCTCTGTCTGTTACTTTAGATGAAAATAAGGAGCCCCTCCCCACGCCCCTCTGAGAGAGATTTGGTTACAAAGAACTCAATGGTGCTCTAGGAGGAGATTCAGGTGATAAGGTGGGGGGGGGGGGGGGGGGGGGGGGGGGTTACCTTGGTTGGCAGGGCCGTTTCTAGCTGTTTGGGGGCCCTATTTTTTTCAAATTACAATGGGGGGATTCCGAAGCCTTTAAGATGATCTTTGGAGATGCATCAGTCTGTTACACTCTAAAAGGAAAACAGGCTAATTTCATGAAAACCAAGCAATTGAAACTAACCAAAAATGATATTAAAAAGATAAACAATGATGCTTTTCTCAACAATGTTTAATTTACATTTTTCATCTTCCTCAGACGTCACTCATTGGCTGACAGCCCGACGATGATTTGGACTTTATTACCCCGAAAACACAAGCCATAGCTTTGCTATCATTGCAGTTTAGTCGTGTTTATATCCTACATTTGATTTTTAAGCATATAATGCTTCACCGAACACAGGAGGGGGCTTGGCTGTCTACAAATAAAGACAGCTAACTTTAATTCCCCCAAATATATTGAGGCTGAACCTGAACTTTCAGCTTGGGGACCCCCTAGTGGCCGCGGGGGCCCTATGCATCCGCACAGTCCGCCTATAGGAAGAAACGGCCCTGTTGGTTGCTGATTGGCTAATGGTTACACAAGCCAAAACATCGTTATGACATCATAAAGTGGCCAAAATCTGATCAGCTCATTTTCAGACAGGTTTTTATAGAAATGGATCAGGACAAAAAGAGAGAGAATCTTTGTTCCTGAAACTTTCAGAGTCTCTTTACACAGAGGGGACACATGTTGATGAAGAAGAGACATGAAGAAGAGGGGACACATGTTGATGTAGAAGAGACATGAAGAAGAGGGGACACATGTTGATGTAGAAGAGACATGAAGAAGAGGGGACACATGTTGATGTAGAAGAGACATGAAGAAGAGGGGACACATGTTGATGTAGAAGAGACATGAAGAAGAGGGGACACATGTTGATGTAGAAGAGACATGAAGAAGAGGGGACACGTGTTGATGTAGAAGAGACATGAAGAAGAGGGGACACGTGTTGATGTAGAAGAGACATGAAGAAGAGGGGACACATGTTGATGTAGAAGAGACATGAAGAAGAGAGGACACATGTTGATGTAGAAGAGACATGAAGAAGAGGGGACACGTGTTGATGTAGAAGAGACATGAAGAAGAGGGGACACATGTTGATGTAGAAGAGACATGAAGAAGAGGGGACACATGTTGATGTAGAAGAGACATGAAGAAGAGGGGACACATGTTGATGTAGAAGAGACATGAAGAAGAGGGGACACATGTTGATGAAGAAGAGACATGAAGAAGAGGGGACACGTGTTGATGTAGAAGAGACATGAAGAAGAGGGGACACATGTTGATGTAGAAGAGACATGAAGAAGAGGGGACACATGTTGATGTAGAAGAGACATGAAGAAGAGGGGACACATGTTGATGTAGAAGAGACATGAAGAAGAGGGGACACATGTTGATGTAGAAGAGACATGAAGAAGAGGGGACACATGTTGATGAAGAAGAGACATGAAGAAGTGGATTTTGCATAATAGGTGACCTTTAACGGCTATGAACTCGCCTTATGCTTCACTTTGATTTTCCAGATATAAAACCATGTGACACACGTTTTGTGTCTGTAACTACACCCGATTTAGAACAAGCCACAACACATACGATATGTAACACACACCCAGGAAGTACTACTCTGTGACTCACCTCTATGGTGTTGTAGGCGTCCAGGAACATGTCCTTGCTGCTGATGCTGCAGTACACGCAGCCCAGCGTCGTGTAGAAGCAGAAGGAGAGGAAGTAGCGGTGGTTGAAGTGACCCACGCAGTTATTCAACCAGGCTGGAAACACGCTCAGGGAAATGTGTATACAGTGGGGAATTAACACTTTAAAAAGCACAGGTTTAAAAGCATCTTCTTTTGAGTTAAAAACAAATGTGTTTCTTGTGGAAAGGATACGGCAGTGGTGGTCCATCTTCAAAACACACCTGTAATATTAAAGAAAGTTCAAATTCAATTACAAAGACTGGCTTACTCTTTAGATGAGAAGTGTTATTTTAATGATCTCACTGGTTGCAGATGCTGCAGTGGTGCGTCCTGGGAGGTTTTGGAGTGATGCATTTCTTACAGATGGACACCGCTGGAATCTGAGTTTTCTCCTAAAAAACAAAAACCAAGGAGGATATGTTACCGTCTAAGAACAGAAATCAATCTAAACAAGAGAGTCACCTTGTAGCAGAAGTAGAAATAAATAAACGTTATCAACAAAATATATATCTATAACAAAGATACGGTGGCCCTGAGAGCTCAAACGGGAAAGTAGGTAAAACTATGACGCCATTATTAGGAGAGCTGAAATTCCTCCAATGTCTTTTCGATCAAGAAATATTGAAGACAAATAAGTATTTGCTCCAAATTTCAATATGTTTTGCATTGTCCCATGCCTGGCCCTGCCACCAAGTTTCAAGACATTTATGGTAGTAGTTTTACCGTAATCATTCTAACAATCAAACAAAAAATAAACGGAAAAACAAAACTTTGGAGGAGGTGATGAGCAGAAAATAACATCCATTATATATTTATTTTATTTTAGATTTTTTTACGTAAAGCCGACTTTATGAACTTCACAAGGCACAAACACAAATATTGCTGCGTGTGCATCACCTTATTTTGTCCCCTGGAAACAGTTGTTGTGTTTCTAAATGCTACACAATGTCACATTTTTAAAGTTTTTTTTTTTGCATGTTCTCTCAATTTGCCTTGTTTTGAGCTCTCAGGGCCACCGTAGAAAATCGTAGCTACTACCACAGAAAGACCAACATATAAAGAATTATTTAAAACCCCTTCAGCTGAACTGTATTGCAGTATACGATACGATAATACTTTAATGGTCAGATCAAGTCTGAAATGTGACTTGCATCACAGCAGCTCCATGTGTAACATCAACATAGACAAATATCAATACATAACATTGGTAACATAAATCTGGTCTTGTACCTTGGGTGGGCTTCCTGCTGCTGTTGTGGTGGCCTTGTAGTAATGGAAGACCACCATGACGAGCAGCCAGTGGCCGTAGCAGAGGTGCCACACGATCATGTACAGAGGGTAGGTGCTGAGGATTGTGGGTAAAACGAACAGGTAGATGATGACCACAACTGAGGTGGTCAGCAGGATGACGAGGCAGACGAACACCTGAGAGAGAAAGAGAGACGAGAAGACTTTTAAATAATGACGCTAGCGACTTATCGTACGATGTTGACATGACCGTGACCATTTGTTATCGACTTTTTTACGATATTAGGATTTTTCATAATCTTGATTGACCTTGAATTATTTACTTCGACGATATGGACTTATCCTTAAAAAGATTGTCATCGCTTATGTCATTTTAACGTAATAGACTAAACATACGAAACATGGAAATAAACTCGATTATTTTTACGTTTTTTGACTTATCGTACGATATACGGAAACAACACTGATAATTCTCGAGTTATACACTTACCGTACAATATAGGGACATGATTGTTGACTTATTGTACGATAAATGGACATTAGCTTCACCATTTTTAGGTCATCGACTCATTGTACAAATTATTTACTTCGCCTCCATATTTTTTACGTTATTGACTTATCGTTAGATAGATCGTCATCACCTCGATCATTTTAACGTAATAGACTAAACGTACAACATTATGGTTTTTTGACTTATCGTACGATATACGGAAACAACAATGATAATTCTTACGTCACACACTTACTGTATGATATATGGACAAGAACATCATCATTTTTACGCTATCAACATATTGTACGATGTACATTTTTAAAGTAATCTTTAAAAATGTCACGTAATGCTGATTGTACAACCGTGACATTAACTCGATCATTTTAGGCTAACAACATTACATAAAAAAAATTCACATAATGGATTTATTGTATGGTTTTGACCATGTTTAAATTTTTCGTCGTCTAGTACAATGCATCAAAATTAACTCGCTCATTTTTAATGCTATCAATTTATAATCAATATATGGATATGAACTCGATCAATTTTAAGTACTGTAAGCAACTTATTTTTTACCCGTTCCAAATCACACTTTAAAAAAATTGTTTTTAATTGACAAAAGCAGATATCGCAATTATTTCTTAGACAATAAATCACTCAACAAAAAAAATGATCCATCTAACAGGCCTACGTTTAAGATTGAGGATCATGTTTTTTGGGGGGGTTGTTTTGGGGTCAAATAGGAAAAAATAGATATCCAACAGCTCACCACTCCGAACCAGCGGGTCACATTATCCACAATCCAGTAGACTGGTTCGAAGGCACAGTCCAGCAGAGTGTCAGCGTTGGTGAGGCTGTTGAAGTACAGAGACCTGAGCAGCATCTTGCTGTAGCTCCACACCTCAAAACACCGCCCGCTGATCCAGGGTCTGTTTCCCCCGCATCCACCCCCCCTCTGTGGGCCTCGGCACCAACGCATCGCCAGCCTCATGGTGCGGGAGAGATGCCACCTCCAGCTGCTTCCCATACCACCACCACCACCACCACCTTTCCTACACACACTCTGACACACACACACACACAGACACACGGTCCAGCAGTTACAAACACAGGCGGCGTAAAACAGCAGCTCTTCGTAGCGCAGCATGACGGAGTTTTCCTTTGATATCCTTCAAGTAGTGGGACCTCCACCCTTCGAAAAAAAAGTTCTGCGACACATGTCAGTCAAAGAAAACAAGGCCAGGCTCTCAGGTAACGCCCATCAGCACCTACCAATTAAACGTCTCCTGTTAATAATTCAGAAGCAAATCGACATTTTGAATATTTAAAAGTTCATTACTCATTGAAAGACTGTATTTATATGCTATAACTTTGTATGATTAGTCATAAAACATTATATTTTTGGGACAATAACTTGCTCCTAAATTATCTATCTGACAGGTTTATGTTAAAGGTTAAGGATCTTGGTTTTGGGGGTTGTTTGGATCAAGTAGGCAGAACAGATATTCAACATTTGGTGAGTTATGCCCATCAGCACCTACCAATTAAACACAAGTTCATTACTCTTTGAAAGCCTGTATTTATATGCTATTACATTGTTTTAATAGGCATAAAACATTATATTAGTGGCATAAAAAGGTCTTAAAATACTAATAATATTGTTTATCTATACCAATTAAACGTTTCCTGTTAATAATTCAGAGCAAATCCACATTTCCAGGCCATTTTTATGCCATCAACTTATAGTAACTATATGGAAATGAACTCGAACACTTTTGTTAGCGACTTATTTTTGTTTCCAATTTTAAATTAGGACTATTCCTAAGAATTAGAAGTTCATTACTCTTTGAAAGCCTGTATTTCTATGCTATTACATTGTTTTAATTGTCATAAAACATGACATTAGTGGCATAAAATGGTCTAAAAATACCAATTACATTGTTTATCGCGTGGCTTTTTGGGACAATAACTTGCTCCTAAATCATCTATCTGACAGGCCTATAATAAAGATTAAGGATCATGGTTTTGGGGGTTGTTTGGGTCGAATAGGCAGAACAGATATTCAACATTTGGTGAGTAACGCCCATCAGCACCTACCAATTAAACGTCTCCTGTTAATAATTCAGAAGCAAATCGACATGTTGAATATTCCTAGGAATGAAAAGTTCATTACTCATTGAAAGACTGTATTTATATGCTATTACATTGTTTTAATAAACATAAAACATTACATTAGTGGCATAAAAAGGTCTTAAAATACCAAAAATATTGTTTTTCGCATTTATAACTTGCTCAAATATTATCTATCTGACAGGCCTATAATACAGATTGAGGATCATAGTTTTGGGGGTTGTTTGGGTCGAAGTAGGCAGAACAGATATTGAACATTTGTTGAGTAATGCCCAGTTAATCATTCACAGCAAATCCACATCTCGAAGCCAAACAGTTGTTCAAAACTTGCCGTGGAGATGCAGAGAGGTAACCCTGTAAGAGGGAAATGCAACAGGATGAATGTCTTAAGCAAGAAGGAAATAAAACCTGATCCAGGGCATCATTTCATGAAAGTGAGTATTGGTTACACAGATAAGGCTTGTTCGGGTCGGCATTAATAATGAGAGACACTAATCAGGGGTCCTTTATTAGGCAGTGAGGGTCAGGCCGGTCAACAACCACCTGTTTCAGATGCTACTTAAACTCAATTACAACAGTATCAATTAAAAATGCCTAGAGTGCATTACATTACATTACATGTTACTTGTTAGACGCTTTTATCCAAAACAACTTACATACTGAATACTGTGGACAATCCCCACAGGAGCAATTTGGGGTGAAGTGTCTCAGGGACACAACGACATGCTGACTGCAGTGGGGTTTGAACCTGTGCCCCCCTGATCCCAACACCAACGCACTACTCCACTGCGCCACACGCCTCCCTATTAGGTTCAAATGAGGTAATCTAGCATAATATGTGACGTAAATGTGACACATGATGACACTGTTTCTCTTGCTTTCCCATCTTCCTTATAATGGGTTTCATGCATCTTCAATACCTCATGATTAATGCTATAACATCAGAGTGTAGTAATCCATATTAATCTATAAAAGCCCATTTTTACCATTGATAAAAATAGTTGAATGATCCAAATAGTCAGCCTGCATTTTCTGTCCCTTATAATTAAGTTAGAAAACTATGAATAAATAAATGCATCTAATTAAAAACATATAATTAAAGCTGTGTGAAAGATACATTAGTTTATGAAGATGGTAACTAAAATAAGCCCAGGGTATTTTTAGAAAATAGAGAGGCGAAGTCCCTCCCTTTCCGGTGGAGCTCCATGGGACCTTATTTCGGGAAAGTTATGCATTGAAGTCAATGGGGAGAGAAAGATTATCTTTCGATCCCGTTTGAATTGTGCCACGAATTACACATATGATGTTTGTCAATTTAAAAGATAATTTTACAAGTTAAAAAAATTAAAATGTGTCGTAAAAATGTGAAGTAACACTTTTTTTTGTGTGAAACTGCTCAATGACCTACATCTCCCGTCTCGCACCACACACCAAGACGGCCGTCACGTTGGCACATTTCACTTCTTCCTTTCAGAATGAGGCGAAAAGTATTAAAAGAGGTGAAAATCACTCCAAGTCTGGGCATGTTGAGAGCTGTACATACACAAGGGGAGTTAGTCGGTTCGTAAGAGCCAGCATGCGGGACCGGGACTCTGGGATTTGTAGTCTTTCTAGTTGCGTATTTTTCATAGTCTTATATTTCAACAGTTTTACGACAAACTGACTTTTTTGACATGGAAATTATTTGTTAAGATTGACAAACATCATATGTGTAATTCGTGGCACAATTCAAACGGGATCGAGAGATAATCTTTCTCTCCCCATTGACTTCAATACATAATTTTTCCGAAATAAGGTCCCATGGGGCGGAAGTAGATTATTATCTATTATGTAGAGCTGAAACGAAAAGCCAGTTGAATAGCCGGTTTATCAAAACACAAAACAAGTGACAATCAATCAATCAAGCAAATTTGGCAGATATTACTCTGTTCCAACCTTTAAAAAAAATGGGATTTGCTGCTTTATGTCACTGTGAATTCAATATGTATTGGTCTTGTTTGTTTGTTAAAACAAACAAGACATCTGCTGACCTCAATCAGAGCTTTAAGAAGTAAATACACATTTGTATACTATGTTCTGACACTTCATAGACTCATTTACTAAGTGCTGCTTACTTCATAACTCCATATTATGATTTAACTATCTTGAGATGTTTATAGCCCCAGGCTGAAATGCCACATTACAGTCATGTGATGAACTTTCTTTGAACATACAGTTCTATCTATAGGGAGGTGTGTGGCGCAGTGGGCTAGTGCGCTGGTGTTCAGATCAGGGGAGCACAGGTTCAAACCCCACTGCAGTCAGCATGTCGTTGTGTCCCTGGGCAAGACACTTCACCCCAAATTGCTCCTGTGGGGATTGCCCACAGTATTGAGTATGTAAGTCGCTTTGGATAAAAGCGTCTAACAAGTGACATGTAATAATATCTGATTCAATTAAACACGAAATCCACCAATTGGACCTAACGTGACAGTAACAACTTCCCCTTCAGCTTGAATCATTCACTCCTGTAGTTAAGATTAAATACAGTGTGAATACAGATGTTGATAGTCATAATCTGTTGTTATCATGTAATAAAACCTCACAGTGAATATCACCTTTGTCCGGGTGAGGGCTGAATAACTAAATGGACAATTGCAGAAAGACAAATTGACAGAAATCCACATTATAATGATAGAAGAAGACAATAAAACAGTAGAAGAAGAAGAAAGCTTTTCTCCAATTCGCTTCAATCTGTCATGATGCACCGTTAGCTAACAGCTAGCTTCCTCCAGCTAACTGCTACCCTTCCTCCACGATTAAGAGTCATTCATAATAAATAAACAGAATAACAACCCAGACTTAAGTGGACATTATGACATGATGTACCTGGTCAGGTGAAGAGGTGAAGAAGCTCTACAGTGAGGTCATGAGCATGCTAACCTGTTAGCCATGTCTCCACTGACTGCAGAGGAATACAGCTACAGAGAACCGGTGAAGATCGTTTGTTTAACAGACGTTTACTCCGCGGTAAAAACAGAAACGTCTTCCGGTTTAACTGGTGACTACAAATAGTTTATTTTAAGTAAATGCAGCAATTTATAGTCAAATATTGTTTCACTAAGGATAAATGTTATGTTCAAAGCAGCATATTATATAATGGAAACTCCCTCTGCTACGTATCTACCTGAATGTGTACTTCTATACATTGTAATTGTAATAATGTGTATGTTTAAATATTATTTGCAGGCCCTTTTTTTACAATAGTGTTCTATTTCCCTCGTCTCTATTTATACTTTACTGTAACAACGTAAATGTCCCCTTTGTAGGACGAATAATGGAATTATGATTCTGAAAGGTTTTTTTGTGCCAAAATAAAAGATTCGAAGTGGGACATCTTCTTTCTCTTTGACTCTTTAGTGCAGCTCGCCCAGACGCGCGCAATGTCTCCTGGGAAATGAAGTCATATTTTGCTGTAACAGTTCATCAAAACGTCTCTAAAGCCACGCTGTCGGTGTTATAAGCGTTAAAATAACACCATATTAAGTATTTATAGTACAATTCCTCACTATAACAACATGACATATATAACAGAGAGCCAATTTTAAACCAAAAACAGCGTTTTTTCGAAATCTGGCAAAACCAGGAAGTACTGTTGTGTCATATGACTGCAAAAAAAATGGCTGCGGTGCAGTGGTAAGATGCTTTTTACTTATTTTTAAAACTACGTATCTTCAGTATACATGTGTCTAATCGTGTATATAGTGATATTGTGCGGGTTGTGATATGTCCATGTAGTTTTAACGTGTTTATTGTGAGCTTAATTTAAATGTAGAGCCCCAAATGAAATGCTAACTGTTTTTTTGCAGGTTGTCAACATACCATTTCAAACCCAGTGCAGGTCTAATGGTTCATTAAATGCAATATTTGACTAGTTAGAGTTTGTTATAGTATGGCAAAGTGTCTATCTTTGTGTTTAGTGCAATAGCTTTGATTTGCATCAGTTGTAATCGTTTTTAATCAATAAACAGTATGCTCTCTCAAATTAGTGTTAAGAGACCTCATAGTGTCTATATTAGTCCACATGTTCACTGTATTTAGATAATTTACTTCAAGCTACCATTACCACACTGAAAATACAAGTTCAAAATGTAAATATGACTGTGTGTAAGTATGTGAAGTAACAGTATTGATTGTATTGCTGTACAAAGTTCCCTGTCACTCTTGTACTATTTACATTGTTTCTGAATAAGGCTTTTTGACAATGCTTTATCAGTTTATCAAACATTAAAAATGAACATCACTGATGGGTTGCTTAAGCTGTCAGACAAATGTAGTGCAGTTAAAGGACAATACTTGTCTCTGAGATATTGTAGAGTAGAAGTATGAAGCACCATTACATAGAGTACCTTGAATTAGTTCTTAAGTAAATGTTCTCTACTGTCCTGTGTGTCTGTTGTGTTTGAAGGCGATCCAGCGGGCGTAGCTACGATGCCGAGCTGCAGAGATGTCGTCCTGAGTTTGCTCCGTTGGAGTTTGGAGACTATCATCCCCTCAAAGCCATCACGGTAAACAATGAGACATTCCAACTCAGTCAAACACAATCTGTTTGGGTTTAGGTACCTTGAAAATGCTTGGAAAATGATTGCATTTCAATATCTAAAGGCTGTATAACCCCCCTCCTCTCCCTGCAGGTGACGGACACTAAGACTCGTCGTGGAGCTCGTAAAGGCAGCACCTCTTCCTCCTGCTCCTCCTCCTCTTCCTCCGTCCCCCCCGACCCCCTCAGCTCCCTGATGGACGGCACTGACCCGCTGTCGATGTTCGCCGCAGCCGAGACGCCCGCCATCACACACAGCGCCTCCACAGGGGTCAGACACACACACACACACACACACACACACACACACACACACACACACACACACACACACACACACACACACACACACACAGCACCTCCACAGGGGTCAGACACACACACACACACACACACACACACACACACAGCGCCTCCACGGGGGTCAGACACACACACACACACACACACAGCACCTCCACAGGGGTCACACACACACACACACACACACACACACACACACACACACACACAGAAATATTGTTTTCTGGCATCACTTGAACATTTAACAGTGAAAATCTGCATTTCGTATTGAGGGCGCAGCGCCCCTGTTACCTGGTTTAGACAAAACCCTGCTGTTTATAAAAACACACACACACACACACACACACACACACACACACACACACACACACACACACACACACACACACACACACACTAGCCAATATATGCCGATCGTGGCAATATTGTAGGGGTGATTTTGAGGAATAAGTGGGACCAGTGAGATATAACATAGATATGATAGAACAGGCTGGATTTCAGTAAAATACATAATTTTATTATCATTTTAAAACAGGAAAAGACAACACTTATTCCATAATACAGTATTACACTATCCCAAATCTAGTAAGATATCTAGCCTCATATCACGATATCCATAAAATAATTTGTATTTAATTGTATTTATTGTCTTAGTTGGACCATACATGTACTGTATTCAAAATACAAATGAATTTCTTACATATAGTATAAATAAAGCAAGACAATTAAACATGCCTTAAGTCACAAAGAATTTCTATGTGTTTTTTATGTGAAAAAATGTAATCATTCTAATTAAAAAGAATAATTGATAATACAAACAAATGTTTTAAAGG